TCTTAAAGCCATCAAATCCTGTAATATCAAATCTAAGGTCGTCCTTGAGAGTAGAGAAGTTTTGGAAACACTCATTTACAGCTATCGGCTGTGTTGGGTAATAGGATACCGTGACATCATGGGTAAAGAAAAAAACAGACGAATTAGCTAGACGAGGATCTCAATCTACAGATCTAGCAATCAATTGTTCAATCAAACCACATATTGTCATCTTTTTCGGAACTTTGAGGCGTTTTTCGACTTCGAATGAGCCAATGAACTCTGGCACAGCGAACCTAGGCGCAATGTGTCAAGATATACCTGGCCGACTCTGTCAACCAAAAGAACAAACTCACTGTTGAACCTCAGCAAAGCTGAAATTAGAATAATGTCAGGAGTCATTACTGGTCGTTGCAATATCAGGGCCTTTACCATTAAATGAGACCATGATGTTACTGATACAGTTGAGCATCTCCTGTGTCGCTGTCCAGTTCTGGCCTACAGACGGCACAGACTAGTGGGCGCTCAGTTTTCACCGTCTCTAAGCTTCTTTTCAACTATGGAACCTGCTTTAATCTACAACATCATTAGAATTGGTCCGGGAGCACAATTGATCACTAAGATATTGAGCACCAATAAAATAAAATTGTTTATTCCTTAACTGATACCTCAGTCAATAGTCTTATTTATGTAAAATACTTTTTGTGATCGTATAACACTTTTTTATGTGCGCATGTCTTATTTGTTGTAAAAAATTCCAGATTTGATTTAAAGGTGCGGTATATTGACATTTGCAGACGTCAGTACCGTTTTGTTTTCTTTGCAATTACATTTTTTTCTTTTACCAAGTTCAATGACATCGCTTTTTTCTTTCTTTTTTTACGATAATCAATAGAGACGCATAGGGACTCATCCAATAAATAAGTTAAGCAAACAAAATAAATCCTATAGAAAAAAATTCCAACACAAATTTTGATAAAATGAGGGCAATAAACACATTATGACGTATGTAGCGAGAGTATATGTATGAGGTATTCCCTATGTCTGGGCCAAATGTTTTTTAAATGCCGCCATATTCGTAGCAGATGCCTAGTGGGGGCCTCTCTCTCTCTTAAATTGACAAACAAAATACTATTAGACAACCTTCAAGAGCTTACTTTTGACCATGATGATCAAATGGCTCTTTCTCTCGGTATGAAATGCTAATCTTATCGCCACATTATAATATGCATGCATTACTACTTGGCCTCTTGGACGTGCCCATTTTCACGCCGGTCTCTTTCTTGGCTTTTTCTCAATCAATGAATGAATGAATATTACACTGGAAATTTCTAGATCCCCTCTACGCAACAATAAAATATTACAACATAATCGCTCTCATTCTACGCTATCAGAAATTTGTATTTGTTATGGTTTTTTGTTTTGTTTTTTAGCTTGATTTTGTTTGAAGGAAAACTTGCCAACAGTTTTTGTTTGGCAGCACTCGTTTACAGAGTGTTGGGTTTTTTGTTGTTGATCAAGGTCTGGTATTTTTCCAAAACCAAAAACACTTTCAATTTTAAATCTTTATCATGTATGGAAAAATGCATTTGAATAATAAAATCACCAAAAATATGTGGAACACAATATTAACTGAAATAACGAAAAAGAAAATGATTATTGTGCCGAATAGCGATTTTGATTTAACTCATGTAAGTGAAGTGAAAAGTTTAAAAATATGTTTTAACTTTGAAAAAAATTAAGCCGTAACTAAATAATCTATTTAAACAACCCAGTAAGGAAAGTAGTAAAGTCGAACTGGGCCGACTGTATGATACTATTCACTACCTTGGGTATATTCTACAAAGTATCCTAACAGACATCTCCTTTTCGAAATAACATTGCCATGAAATTTAACGAAAGATATATAAGAATTTACATAAAATAAGACGAAAATGTATATCTAAATCTGAACCGATTTTCACGAAACTTAACACACATCTTTCTAGACTTAATACGCTATGCCAAATTTCGTGCAAATCGAAGGAATCGATTTTATGTAAATCGGACGAAAATATATATGGGAGCTATATCTAAATCTGAACCGATTTACTTGAAACTTAACACGCATCTTTCTAGACTTAATTCAGTACGCTATGGCAAATTTCGATGGATATTTACCTACCTATTTACTATTTACCTAAGTATGAACCGATTTTTCCCAATTTCAATAGGGTTCGTCCTTGGACCAAATAAATGAGCTGTGCCAAATTTCATCCAAATTGGAATAAAAATGCGACCTGTACCTTGTTTACAATTTAACATGGACAGACGGACGGACATGCATAAATCGATTAAAAAAGTGATTCTATGTATTTTCTCGAAAGGAGCCATGTGTCTATCTCGTTTCCTTTTGCCTGTTTCAAACTTATGCCCAAATACATAATACCCTGGACCACAGTGTGGTGAAGGTTATAAAAAATGCCAATCATGTGAACTTTCTGCAGATTCCGAGTCTAAACTAAATTTCCAAACATTTGCGACTTTTAGTGTAAAGATTTTAGTATAACTCCCATTTCCGAATACATCCACCAATATAATTGATATAATTTTGAAGCATTTTTCTTAGATATCCTCGAGATCATATCCGTTAATTTTTAAATTACCAGAGAGATTATGGGTTGAATCTGGAGTTCTCCGAACTTACATGCAAAATTTCTTTTCAATGGGCGGATAATAAACTCAGAACAGATTTATAAATGTTCTTTATCTTCCATTAAATCCCTATTTGTTTCGGAACTAATTTATTTATTTAAAAATGCTCAGAATCCAGCGGAAGCCTTTTACAAAAATCATTCTGTTGTATAAAGGGGGTTTGAAATTTAAAATATTATTTTACATAACCGTTATTTTAGTGAATTTCGTTTTTTGTTATCAAACTTACGAAGTTTATAATACTTTATCATAAAAATAAATAAAACAACAAATGGTTTTGTTGATAAAATTTATTTTACAGCCTTGTAAAGGGTATTGTAAAGCAAAAGTGTACGATTAAATGGGAAACATTGTATGGTTGCAATAAAAAAACTCTTCTTGTATATATTGGCGAGGTTCGCATCTATTCGTAATTGATTTATACGTTAAACCGATTTTTTTTTTGCCAAAACAAAGAGGACACGTTTATTGAAAATTTCCTGCAGCTTATTGCAGCTATTTAATTATCATTTCTATCTCATGAACTCGTGTTAAAATCATGTTTTGATTTCAATGTCACATTTTTTTCTGGCAGATGTTACGCATTCGTATTAATCTTCAACCCCTAAATTTATTAAATTTTGTAACGGCTTTTTGGCGATCATCTCTGCAAAAGTTTGTGACCTAAAGTGTTCGTGATTTCTGACAAGCCTTGATAACACGTGCAGCTTTCTCGTAAAAATATCTGCTCACTTCCCCTTTCACATTACAGACGTCAGACGGTACGTCGTTCTCACCTTCCATCGCTATATGTTCTCATGTGAATGCATTTTTGGTTTGGGGTATATGTAAAGGTTATACACCATGAGCAGATTGAGGTCTGCTCTACTAAACCCACCCCTTTTTGTGGCCGTGAAATTACGTTATGCGTTAGCTATTCAACCCCATTTTACGTGACATTATATGTTATGGTAATAGTTACACTGTTTGACAAATACACTATTTGGAAAAATATATTCTAAATACAATTTTTGTACAATTACAATTTTTAAAAATTCACTAAAAATGGTCAAGAAAAAAGTTTCTTCATGACTGGAGGATTTTTAATACTCAAAGAATGCGAAATACCCTTATATCGGGCTATTACTAAGTTTAAGCATAAGTTATCTATCCGCCAGAAAATGAAATGGCTATAAAGACTCCATTCGTCTACAAAAACTCCCTTCAGCTCGACCATAAAAACTTCCTTCAGTTCGTCTAAAAGTAATCTAATCTTGATTTAGTCATTTCAATTAAGAAATGCCCCTATAAACTTTACCATGCCTGACATTTGGCGGGACGTTTATATGGGATAATGCCAAAACATGAACCAATGATTACAAAGAAAATTTATATCCACCTAGGATGCCAAATCACAGTCATTTTGATTAAAAAATGCGCCTAGGACCAAATACTTAAAACCATTATATCGAGGCTATATCAAAATATTCTGAACAAAGTTTTTTTATGTCTTAACACAAGGATCCAAAAAACTTTGGCTGCAGCTTAGTGTCAATATTCCCTTGTACTATGACCGTTAAATGAAAATTAGGAGGGTGTACATTCTTACCACGTTTCTCTAAAGTTCTAAATGGCATGCGCCAACCTTGTCAGTGGTAAGAAACAGAAATTTGAGCAAACCTAAGAGTGGTGGTGTTACAGACAATTTGTCTGTGTATACCGGCTAAAAACGAATTGTTTCTTAAATTTCCACTCTCTAAGTCAAATTACTCTCAGACCAGTTGTATTTTGAGACTAAGAAGAACATGTGTTCAATAAACTAATTGCATTGCAAGTGCATTGTCTGATTTTGACCTGCTTTTCTAGCCTCCCAGTGTGTGTGTGTGGGTCTTACAAATTGCATTTGCATGTGGTATTGTTAAATAAATCGCGTGCCGTGGCGGTTCAATTTCTGATACCTTGGAAAGTTGTGCGAAACTTTTTACCAAATACCGGCCTACTAAAATAGGATACCGGGTTAGGAAAGGGAAACTAAATAGTTGACGCCGAAAAAAAAGAGAAACAACCACACCCGGTGTGTATATTTTTGTCGTCGCCTAGTGGCTGGCACGAAAATTTGTTACCAAACACAAATCTAAACACACATAACAACAATTGCCATCGATTTAAGACTCAGTTCACAAAAGTGCCTTGTCGAAATCATTTGTCCTCAACACAGACATAAGACACAATTCGGTCGTTCCTTAATATCAAAGCTTATAGCAATTAATAGTGCGTTTTAACTAACACAATTTTCACAAGAAACCAATTAAAAAAATCAATAAATTAAAATTAAAAAAAAATCTGTGATATTCCGAAACATAAATCTCAACGCGTAAACATCTACAATCCACAAATTGGAATATGAAACAACAAAATGTGTCTCGAAAAATTGGCAAAAAACCAATATCTCATGAAAAGGTGTACCAATTGTTTGGACCGCAAGTATGCAGCTGCATAAGATTTACAAAATTCACTTTAAGATTAATTATTAATTTGGTGTATTATTTTACTACTACTCTGTTAGGCCTCCTTTGAGGAGATACGTCAAGCTGCTGCCCGCATATGCCGTGATTATTTAAATGGTCGCTGGAAGGAAGTACCCACCGAACAGTTGATTGTCAAACGTATCAGGTAAGTTTGTCATCACAACAATGACGTCACAATATGTAACATGTGTTGAGATTCTCATTCTTCTTCCTCACAGCGGTGGACTTTCGAATTTTTTGTATTACGTAAGTTTACCACAATATTGCAATGCTACCACAGCCACCATCAGTAATGAAGTCAATGAATCCGTGGCATCAACATCATCATCGTCGGCATTGCCACAATCAGATAACGACGAAAATAGAAACGAACAAGATTTCAGTGACCTCCTTTCGGCCGGCGACTGCAATGGTAATAAACGTAAACGTTATGACAGTTCATCGTCCACATTGGCCTCGGCATATAGACAAAAGGAACCAAAGGAGGTATGTAGTGAATTATGAAAACACAACAGAATTATGGAAAATTCGAGAGTGGAAGATTATCTGGAAATTTTAATAATAATAATAGGAAGTGGAAGTAAAATAAAGGAAAAACAGAAGATGTTTATAGACGATCAGAAATTTACACTATTTACGTCGTATATAAATACTTCCTGTTCCCATCAGCTCGTCAAAAAAGACTCGGTTCAGCTCGTCTATAAAAATTACCTTCAACTCGTCTATAAAAATTACCTTCAGCTCGTCTATAAAAATTACCTTCAGCTTGTCTATAAAGACCCCCTTCAGCTGGTCGATAAATACTTTCGTCAGTTCGTCTGACTCCCATCAGCTCGTAGATAAAGACTGCCTTCGGCTACTACGTTTACCTTCAGTTAGTCTATAAAGACGCCCTTCAGTTCGTCTATAAAGACTCCCTTCAGCTCGTCAATAAATACTCCATTCAGCTCGTATATAAACATTCCATCAGCTCATCTTTAAATACTACCTTCAGCTCGACTTTAAAAACTCCCTATGTTCGCCTATAAAAACTCCCTTCAGTTCGTCTGAAAAGTCTCCCTCCAGGTCGTCTATAAAGACTATCTTCACAACCTCTATAAGACTCTCTTCAGCTCGTCTATAAATGCTCCCTTCAATTCGTCTATAAAAATTCCCTTCAGGTCGTCTATAAAGATTCCCTTTATCTCGTCCATAAAGATTCCCTTTATATCGCCTGTAAAGACTCCATTCAGCTCGTCTACAAAGGCTCCTACCTTCAGCTCGTCTATAAAGACTCCCATTCAGCTCGGTTATAAAGATTAGCTCCAACATATATACAAAGGCTTCCTCCCATATAACAAATGTACCTTCAGATCTACCTTAGCTCGACTCCAATTATTTGGCTATAAGTATCCTCCCTTCTCGAATTTCCTAAAGGAAGAATTTATTCATATTTTAATTCAAATTATATCTCGTTTTAATTTTAGGTCCTTCTACGCATCTATGGACAATCCCATGGTGAAGATGCCTTGGAACAGATGATAACAGAATCAGTGGTGTTTGCATTGCTAAGTGAACGTCACTTTGGACCACGTCTATATGGTATTTTCCCTGGTGGACGCCTTGAACAATACATTCCTGCCAGAGCTTTATTAACCTCCGAATTGGCAATACCGGAGATATCAATGAAAATTGCTGAAAAAATGGCTGAAATTCACACTTTGAATATTCCCATGTCTAAAGAGCCCGATTGGCTGTGGAATTGTATGGAACGTTGGCAACGTTATTTACCCGATATACTAAAACCGAATAGCAAATGGCCAAATAAAGAGGCTGTTAGCGTTATGCGGGACATTGATTATGACCAAGAAGTCCTTTGGTTGAAGGGTGTTATTAGCATGCACAATTTTCCAGTTATGTTTTGCCACAACGATATGCAGGAGGGTAATATTCTTATGAAGATCCCAACAAATGATGAATCAGAGTATGTATTTAACTTGGTATCCCAATAAGAATTTTAAAACGAAAAGTTTATTTTTAGTGGAACGGAAGATGTGGCTTTGGAAAATGTATCTATGAGCAGTGAGGATGCCACTGGGTATGCCTAATTACAATTTATAATACAAATCCCTTTAGAAATGCGTATTAACCTTTTTTTTGTTTTTTTTTTCCAGATCAAAGAAACCCATTGCTGATTTGGATTCCTCTGGGGATTCGGCCATTGATAATGCCAATAGCTGCACCTCACCCGATTTAAAAATAATTGATTTCGAATATTGTGCCTACAATTATCGTGGCTTCGATATAGCCAATCACTTTTTGGAATGGACCTTCAATTATAGTCGTCCCGATTTTCCATTTTATTATTACAACAGTGAAAACTATCCCACAAAGGAACAAAGAGATCAATTTATAAGAACATATCTTAAGAAATTCAACGACAAAGATGATGATTGGGAACCTACACAAAAGGAAATCGATGATGTTAATCAAGAAGTTACAGTATTTCGCATGATGTCACATCTATTTTGGAGTCTATGGGCTGTGATGAATGTTACATCCAATATTGAGTTTGGCTATTGGGTTAGTTTTAGCTTTTTGCAATCAATTAAGGCTATTATTAATTTGTTGTTTGTGTTTTTTGTGTTACAGGAATATGCGGTTTGCAGAATTAAAGAGTATCTCAATCTCAAACAGGCCTATATCAACGATCACATGATGACTGTTTAGAAAAATGTATCCGACCATTTTATGTACTTACCGTAACATTTTGGTCAATTTTAAAAATTGAACTGAGCGAATTTCAAGACAGGTTATATACAACTAATGTTTTTTTTAACTGTAGGATTTATATAACGATAAGATGTAAAGTAAGCGAAGATGCAGAACATTTAACTGCACCAGCATTTACGCCTGGTGGCAGTTACTTATTAGGCGGTGTGAAAGTGTTCGTTTTGTATAACGTTTTAAGACTATTTTTAATAGTGCTGTGATGGTTTTTACTTAAGTAATTGCGCCGTTTTATCCTTATATATTATTAATTATGAAATAGTTAGCGTATTCAATTTGTATTTCCTTAAAAATATTGTTCTCAGATTCCTTGTTTACTTGTTTGTTATGTTATTTGTCAAATGTCAAGCGTTATATCCTTTGGCATTTATGATATATATATTTTTTATTCTTATCGAACGTTTTTATGATCACTTTAAAATGCTATTTGAACTTTATATGCGTATCTATTACAACACCACCATTTTTATAGACTAAGTTTTAATATAACAAACACAATCACCATATAAGTGGAAATTGGGGCTATTCAATGTAAAATGATGGCCCACTATAATTCCTTAAAAAATACGACACGTGGAATTGAGTACAAAACAAAAAAACTCATTCACTTTAGGAGTAAATATTAAAAAAATAACCCTTACAACGTTTTTAATAAATGATAAATTAAAAATAAATATATATTGCGTTTCACTAATTTATGATTTTTTTTATTATTCGTATAACATAAAATAGTTTTTTCTACAGTATGTAATTTTATACCAATGTATTTATTGCCATTGCAATATGTCTGGAGTGGATTTAAATTTTGTCATTTAATTTGCAACACATTCAAATATTACTCAGTTGCTCAATATATAACCTTAATCACAGGAACATTCAGTGCAGATAGGCAGCTCATAAACTCATTTTTCAATAAAAGTGGCTGTCATTTTTTAATTTGTGTTCTGAGAAAAAATATCGATATAATTGTCGGTTCCCTTTTAGATCAGTGGCTCAATATATGACATTTGGGTTCCCAGAAGACAAATACCTATATATATGTTTATGTATAGAGTAGAATTCCCACTTATATTAGAGCCCGGAAATGCATTGTTTTTTTTTTTTGAAAACTGGAAATGTTCCATTTCCATCATAACAATTTCATCTTAAATAAAATTTCAGACCATTTTGTATAGAAAAATGAGATTCGATTTGCGTCATGTATCTCCGGACCTCATAAACTACTCAAGTCGGGGCTCTAGTGTAAAAACATCAAAGAATATATTAATTGCATTTTTTTTCGATTCAACCTTTTTAAATAAAGAAATATTCCTTTAATTCGTCTAATACAATTATTCCTATAACTGGCCCGCCGAATACAAACTTCTAGTTGGTCGATAAATTCGATGCTATTTAATTCTTGTGGATTAGTTAGTACAAAGACTCAATAAAAAAGCACTAATTGAGGTTATTGTCTATAATGTTCTAAACCAAAGAAATATCTAAGACAAAAACCATCAGAAACTAAGAATAGCCATGCTAGATGTCGCATCTGAAATATTTTTATGCGCTTTTCAATTGTTTCGCTTCTTGTATGTATCCCATTGAATTGTGTTTGAGAAAAACGCATTTTTTTAAAAGTGTGAAGGGTAAACATATTAAATATTTGTAATTCCAATATCATATTGTGAAACCAAAAATTAAACAAAATATATATATTTTGCGATCTTACTAAAATTAATATTGGTCTACTTTTTACGGTAGCCCCTAATATTCAGTATGTTGAACATTCTAGGCACATTTTTTAACCAATTTGATTGATTGGGTGTAAAATCTTCCCACTAAAAATTATCAATATCGGCTTATTTTTTTGGTATAGCTTCTATATGACGGTACCGACCAATTTTCGATGTACTGAAGGCTTTAGCCGCCAACTTTTAACACCGATATGGCAGTAATTTGGTCCAAAGGGTTCATGAAGGCAGACATACATATATATACGGACATATACAGACATACATATATACGGCATTTTGGGACATTGGAGTGTAAACCAAGTTTTGATACCGCATCCATATAAAGGTCTCGACCCATTTCCGGTACTATTATGTTTTTAACAGAATTTTCTCATCGAAGTGGTAAAAAAAAACTTTTCATGAAATTATTCGATAATAGGGTAATGTTTTGTTAACATAAGGTCATTTGTAACCTTTTTTTGGGCATGGGTGTCTGCTTGTGACAGAACATTTGTTCCATATGCCGAGCTTAATAAAGATTTCCAGGCGCGTCGGTCTTCTGCGTAGCTCTTCCAATTTGAAATACCATGTTGCAAAACTTGTTTTCCACTTGATATCTCCATCGAATTTGTGGGCTTTCCCTGCGTGAACCATCTCCATTCTCCCAACATGACCTAGCCAACGTTGTCGCTGCAGCTCGATACGTCTGACTATATCGATGTCCGAGAATAAATTTTACAGTTCACGATTCATTCGACGGCGATATTCACCACCGTTGCAGATCGTCCCATAGATCTCTCGGATACATTTTCTATTAAACACTCAAAGAGCTGCCTCATCTGCTTGCGCAAGTAACCATGCTTCTGATCTATAAGCCAGCATTGGTAGTATCAGAGTCTTGAAGAGTGTGAGTATGGTCTGGCTGGAAGTGGCATTGTTTCTAAACTGCTTTCTTAGATCATAGTAGCTTTTGTTGGCCAACACTATTCTTCTCCGAATTTCAAAACTGATGTCATTATTTTTTTTCATGGAGGTATCAATGTATATAAAACCGTTTACTTGGCTGTTACTGTTCGCAATTTGGCGAAAGTAGCTACTCCAGGTGACACAATTGAGATGAAAGAGGGAATGAAATAAGCCTGGTCTTTGCCATGTTAAAGCCAATCAGTTTTATTAGTTCCATTTGTTCTCTCCTCTTTAAAATTGATTTATTTTCTAATCCAAAACAATATGCAATCTTTATCTTCAAACTGCGAACAATATTTGTTGCCATAATTTTATTGCAACGCCTTAGCTTAGCTATAGCGTATTGGATTGCATCTCCATAGATTGTGTGTTTGGGAATTTTCCATAAGTGTTTTTTTCGGATCATTTATTTTACAACAATTTCGCAACGTTTTGTGAAAGTGTCCAACGCCAACTACAATATTTAATGTCACTTCAGTGATGATGCAGAACGGAAGATAGAACGAAGAAGTTTATCTCTATCTTCTCGCGGCTTATGGTCTGAACAATTGCCATAAATGTCATAATTTTTATTATTCATCTTGTTCTGATATCTTTTAGTTTTATGCGTTCTCAAGCTTAACACAAAGTTTATTTTATTGCAATTCGAAGCCATTCTGACTGGCTAGCTGAATGAATGGCATTTTGTTTTTTTTCCCGCTGTTGGGTTTGGTTGGTTTGTTGGCTGACTGGCTGGTTGATGATTGTTGAAGTTTTATTAAAAATTGCGAAAAATTGTTTCTTGGCATAGATGAAATAACAAATGATTGTCATTTTACATAAATACACACAATAGATTTGTATACACATTGTAAAAATTTAACGCTATTCAGTTGCGAATGACAATCGGTGAATGAAGTGGCAAGGGGTTTCTGAGACAAAATTTATTATCAAGTGGATTACAGTTGGGGAGAAATATTCGGATACAAATTTTTGTTTTAATTTTTTTCCAGCACCTAAACCACAATTTTAAAATTGACCTTGTTTCTTGTAGTAATTTTAAAGAGAAGCTGAATTGAAGCACTTTTTTACAAACTCCAAGAATAACATTTTGAATTAGAACGGGGGACTAGTTAGTGCTAATATTATAACAGCCGAGTTACGCCAACCATCGTCGAAAAGGATGATGTAGAAGAAGAACACGCTGAGAAAGTTACAAATATTTAACAACAACAAAAACTTTGCAGTTCGTTAAGAAGTTTATTACAGCTCTACAGCAAAGAAAGTGAAGATGAAATTATGCAGGAACATGAAATGGTGTCAGCGTAAAGTATTCCAAAATGGCATTTGTTAAGCAAGCAGTCAGCCTGGAGGGTTCTGAGTTCGTTTTGCTTTTGAGTAGACATGAAAGGGGATAACATAGAAATATAATCGTCATAAACTTTGAGATTAGCGTTATTAAATAAATGTTGTTCAATAATTTGTTAAATATATTCTTTGGAGATGGAAAATCAATGCCAGTGAATATTTTATTATGTATTTCTGGGAGGACAAGCTTCTTTGTTTTGTAAGTGGAATATATTTCCAGTGATATTCATAAAATCCTGGATTATATATGTATATAAAATAAATTGTGTGTGTGTGACGTAGGCGATGATAGATACCAAGAAACGGTTCTGATTGTGTGAAAATAGTGATCTGATATGTGTCTCGAATTCACACATACGAAATATAAAAAATGGGTTGAGGTGTCAGGTTAGTTGCCCACCCTTGGAAACCCCCTACTGCTATGAGAAAGCAACGAAAAAGTAACCCAAACCCTAATGTAGACGAATCCCACAGACGCATAAAGGACTATGATCTGCGAATCTGCACTTGGAATGTGCGCACGTTGTACAGAACAGGCGCCCTGTTCGTTTTGGCGGATGTACAGACATGAATTTATCTGTGTATTTATGGTAAGCAGGATAATAAAATACCTCGTCTCTAGACCTCGTCTTATGTATCTACCAGGAATATAAGTCTATAAGTAGAATCTATCTAGCAATAGCTCGATAAAAGAACTGCAAGGAGCACATAACACTGCATTAAAAATGGTTATGAATCTACCAAGGCGTTATTCTCCACTAAGTAGCGAACTGCTTTTGCTGGGCCAAGTTAATACAACAAATTGTCAATTGAAATAAGAAACTCAAATTCTATTTCTTCTTTTAAAACTAATTTAAAAAAATATTTATTGACAAAAATAGACACACTTCTTTCGTAATTTTAATTTTTAAATATAATTT